GTCGGGCTCCGTGCTGACGGCTCGGAGCCCGGAGCCCGTTTCAGGTTCTGTGTCTCCCTCTCTCTCTCTCTGCCTCTCCCCCGCTCATGCTCTGTCTCTGTCTCTCTCTGTCAAAAATAAATACACATTAAAAAAAACGAAGAACATGCTTAAAAAAAGTAAATAATACATACGTACGTAAAACAAGGTGATGCACAGGGTGGACCTGTGTTTGTCACCTCCGCACAGCTTCAACATACCTGAGTGCTACTAACAGGGACTGAAACTTTAAAATTCCGTTTTCCTCCCCGGCATTGATTTGATTTTGTTTTTTTCAGGAAAAGTTCATAAACTCGTGTTAAAAATCACATTAGATAAAGAGCTCGTAGGAATGGCCCGGTTAAGTGACAGAACAATTTTTGGTTGAATTTCTACAGATTAATGCTTTAAATGTCTACCGTCTAAATCATGTGCGTGTATGTTTGTAACATGCCCTCAAATGTTTTCGAAAATGGTAAATGGAGGAAGTCACTAAAAGATTGACAAGTTGCTCGCGCGTTGACGTTGCGCGTGAAGTCAGCTGTCGGTGCTCTCCTCACACAATTCAGGGTCTGAACACTGAACGGCGCCTGTCAGGTCGTTATTTGTCCGGAAGGCGGTTTCTCTTGTATCTGCCACCGTCAAGGATTCCAAAGACGCCTACGATTCGTTCACTAAGCAGCGCGCGCAACCAATTTCTCTTACTCTTCTCAAAACTTAGGCTCCCCTGGAGACACCCGCAGGACGCAGCACGCGGCCTCTTCAAGGGTCAAAGTGACCACGGCAGTGAGGAAGCAACAGGAGCGTTTCGCACGCTAACGCTATGACGGAAGGGACACCTTGATCTCGCATTCATCCTTCATCTTTGAGCGCACCGTCACACCGGTCATTTCATTTCGTCCACTGAGATGGGACGACCGTCATCCTCCCCATTTTGGGAGTTAAGAGAACAAAACAAAACACCGAGACCTGACCAGGGATCCCTTCAGGTTCGTGCCTGGTTCACGGAATTCCTGCCATCTTACAACAGACCAAGACCCCGGTTGTAGGGGAAACGTCAGCGGCTCTGGATGGGCCATTTCGCTTCGACTGTCATTCTTTCGTCTTGTGGCAAAGCGACGGATCGCGCGAGGACACAGACTGGGAAATGAGGGTGTGCTGACCCCCCACCCCCCTGCCTGGGTGCCTAGAGGCGGGGCCCGCAGCGGAGCCCGGGGGAGGGCGCCCCCAGGGAAGCGCGTCACTTACCGAGCAGGACTGTAGGTTGAGGCTCACGAGCTCGTGGCAGTAATTCTGGATGTGCTTCAGGGCTTCGTCTTCTAACTGAGCGGACACAGAAAACAGAAGAGGAGGGAACCGGCTGCGGGCGCGGCGGAGAACCAGGAGGGACCAGCAGCAGCTCTCCGGGGAGGGGCCCGCGCCGGGTGTCGCCGGCCGCTCGGTACCTGCGTGCAGCCCCTCAGGAGCAGGGCTTTCAGGCCGCGACAACCTCGCACCAGCGCCTCGATGCCGTCCTTCGTGATCTGGTCACACCACGACAGGTTCAGGTATTCCAGGTTTCGGCAGCCCTCACTGGGGGAACGAGAGGCGACGCGACACGTGGGCAACCCGCCCCACGGAGAGCTTATTACGGAGCGTGAGCTCGGTAAATCACAAGCCTCTCGGGGAGAGAAAATCGCTGTGACCCGACTCTCCTATTTCTTGTTCCAATGGGACCGCTACGTTTCAGACAGGGCGCCCCGGGGGCTCAGTCGGTTGAGCGTCCGACTTCCGCTCAGGTCACGATCTCGTGGTCGGTGAGTTCGAGCCCCGCGTCGGGCTCTGTGCTGACGGCTCCGAGCCTGGAGCCTGTTTCGGATTCTGTGTCTCCCTCTCTCCCTCTGCCCCTCCCAACTAGCACTGTGTCTCTCTCTCTCTCTCTCTCTCTCTCAAAAACAAACATTTTTAAAATTAAAAAAAAGATAGATGGAAAGGTTTTAGACACACCAGGATGCTCGTAGGTTGGGGTGTTTCTCCAGGCAGCGGGCACTCTTACCTGATCCCCTTCAAGGAGCTGTTTGTAATAGACACACAGGAAGTCAGATCCAGATGTTTCAGCTTGGAACAGAATCTGCTAAGGCTATAACACGTGCTGGAAAAGAGCAGACACACTAAAGATATTTTCAACCATGTTTCTCTCCCCTCACTCTCCGCATGGTCAATTAGCCACCGAACTAACTCTCGTTACTTACCTGTCAGTGATTTTGGTGCAACCATTGAGGTTTAAATGTTCAATGTTGCGGCAGTTCTGTGCAAAGGTCCTAAAAAGAGAAAAATTTAAAAACTCCCTGGACAGCCACTAGAGGGCGCGGGTCACCATTCACATTTAGAACAGTGCTCCTCAAGCTAAAAATTTTGTTTTATTGTGCAAAGAGCATTTAACATGAGACTTACTCTCCACAAATTTTAAGAGTACAATATATTATGGCTGACTTTAGGTACTGGTGCTCCGCAAACTTTAATGTGCACATGAAACAGCTGGGGTTCTTCCCACAGTGCAGATTCTAATGGTACTGCTAAGCAAACTGCTTAACGGTCTGTGTTTGTCTTCCTTCCTTCCTTCCTTTTCTTTCTCTTCCTTTCCTTTCTTCTTTTCCTTCCCTTCCTCCATCCATCTTCCTCCCTTTCTTTTCTTTCTTTTCCTTCTTCCTTTTCTTTCTTTCTTTTTTATTTCCTTTCCTTCCTTTTCTTTTTTTCCTTCTTTCTTTCCTTTCCTTCCTTCCTCTCCTTTCCTTCTTTCCTTCCCTTCCTTTTCTTTCTCTCTCCCTTCCTCCCTCCCTTCCTCCCTCCCTCCCTTCACTTCCTTCTTTTCCTTCCTTCCCTTCTTTCTTCCTTTTCCTTCCTTCCTTCCTGTCTGCATTTCTACAAAATTCCCAAGTGATGCCAGTGCTGCTGCTCTGGAACTACACGTTGAGAAGCAAAGCCCAAGACGGACTATGCATCAGTCATAATTCTCCTTCAACCCACACCTTGGTGGGTTGATATCTGAGGGTGGAGGCCTGGCTCCTTGTTACTTCTCTTTATAGAAAAATCAGTTCGAAGCAAGGGGTTGAATCTTTCTTGTATTGTGCCATGCTGTCATTTGGTTGTTTAAGAGCCTTCCTGGAGAAACCATCTTTGGCCATTGATAGGGTCAGTGGTTGATCAGTATGAAGAACCATCCAGCTACTGGTGCAAATACTCAGTCACAAAAGGCAACTTCATCAATAATTTGTGGGTTGGTAGCAAGGCCAGAAGTGGAAAATTAAATATCTCTTCCTCGCCACTTACTCTTTAACATATCAGCTTGGACTGGCTCCGCTCACCTGCATTTTCCTGAGATATAGCTTCAATGTATCTTTAGGGGTGAGTCCTGATTCTTGCATACAGTAGCCAAATGTCTCCCAAACCTGGCCTCAAACCACATGTCACTCTTATCTGCTCCTTCTGCCCTGGTAGGGTGCTATGGAAGTGAGCTAGAGCCTGGTGGAATGCCGAAGTTGAAGATATGGAGCCCAAAGTCTGACCAAGGTGATTAGAATGATCAGAGAAGAGTATTAGAGCAGAGAGAACTTTAGAGCGTTCCCCTCAAGAACTCAGTAGAGTACTAATCAGAGCATGCGTATGTGGAAACTACCCAAAGCCAGAGAAAGAATCCTTAAAAACCGTTAAAGGGAACAACAGCCAGAGCCTACCCGGAGTCAGGGAAGTGCCCATTCCCACAAGCCAACGACGCAAATCATCTTAATCTGTGGGACACTGAGAACTCATTGCCTCAGGTATACAATTAGCCCTCGACGAAACACTGCTTCAGCCCAACTTAACAAATTTAAAAAAGAAAAGGGGGGGGGGCGCCCGGGTGGTGCAGTCGGTTAAGCGTCCAGCTTCGGCCAGGTCACGATCTCGCGGTCCACGAGTTCCGAGCCCCGCGTCGGGCTCTGTGCTAACAGCTCAGAGCCTGGAGCCTGTTTCCGATTCTGTGTCTCCCTCTCTCTCTGCCCCTCCCCCGTTCATGCTCTGTCTCTCTCTGTCCCAAAAATAAATAAACGTTGAAAGAAAAAAAAATTTAAAAAAAAAAATAAAAAAGAAAAGGGGTTGAAGAGAACTATGTCCAAATAACTCAACTGTGTCCAGAACAAAACTCAAGAACAGTTATAGGAATACAAAATATTCAGCTACCAAAATAAAACTCACGATGTCTGCCATTGAACAAAAAGTTGCCATGCATTCAAAGAAGAAGGAAAACACAACCATAATGTGGACAAATTTTCAATCAAAGCTGACCCAGAACTGACACAAATATTCGAGATAGCAGACAAAGACATTAAAAGTTATTACAACTGTGTTCTGTAGAATGTAGTTCTATGGTGCTACCTAAAGATTAAACAAGTTATGTTTATTAAATATGCCATGTAGAGACAACAGAGATATTTTTAAAGACCCAAATTAAAGTTTCAGACAATGGCTGAGACAAAAAATTTCCTGGATGGGATTAACAGCAGATGAGACATTGTGGAAGAAAATATTGGTGATCTTGAAGACATAGCAATAGAAACTATCCAAAATGAAACAATGAAAGAAAACAAGAAAAAATAAAAAGAACAGAACACGAATGAGTTGTGGGACAGCTTCAAGCAACCTAATATACATGTAACTGAGAGTCTCCAAGGAATAGGAGATTAGGGAGGGGGGGTAGTGGATATCTGAAGAAGTACTGGCCAAAATTTTTCCAAAATTTATGAAAACTATAAACCTACAGATCCAAGAAACTCGAAGAATTCAAAGTACAAGAAATACGAAGAAAAATACATCAGGGCATATCATAACCAAACTGGTCAAAAGCAGTGACAGAGTAATCTTAAAGCAACCGGAGAAAAAGACACATTATGTACAGAGAAAGAAAAATAAGGGTGACAGAAGATTTCTCACAGGTAACAAAAGAGCAAGAAAACAGAGGAACAGCATCTTTAAAATACTGAAAACAAACAAACAAAAAAAAAAACTGTCAACAAAATTCTATGCTGAGCAAAAATATTTTTCAAAAGTGAAGGAAAAATAAGTTTTTTCAGACACAGAAGAGCTGAAAGAGGGGCACCTGGTGGCTCAGTCAGTTAAACCTCTGACTTAGGCTCAGGTCACGATCTCAAAGTCTGTGAGTTCGAGCCCTGCTTCAGGCTCTTTGCTGACACTGTGGAGCCTGCTTCAGATTCTGTGTCTCCCTTTCTCTCTGCCCCTATTCAACTCGTGCTCTTTCTCTCTTTCAAAACTAGAAGAAGGGGGCGCCTGGGTGGCGCAGTCGGTTAAGCGTCCGACTTCAGCCAGGTCACGATCTCGCGGTCCGTGAGTTCGAGCCCCGCGTCGGGCTCTGGGCTGATGGCTCGGAGCCTGGAGCCTGTTTCCGATTCTGTGTCTCCCTCTCTCTCTGCCCCTCCCCCGTTCATGCTCTGTCTCTCTCTGTCCCAAAAATAAATAAACGTTGAAAAAAAAATTAAAAAAAAAAAATAGAGCTGAAAGAATTAATCAGATCTGCGGTACAAGAAATGTTAAAGAACAGTCTTTAGGTAGAAGAAAGAGTGACACTAGATGACAATTTGTATCTGCACAAAGGAATGAAGAACTGGAAACAGTAACTACTTGGGTATATGAAGTCAATTTTTTATGTATTTAAATCTCTTAATATTAAAAACTACTAACAACCTAGTGTGGAATTTATATTATATGTAGATTGAAAATGTGTAGCAATAATGGCATAAAGGCTGAGTGAGGAAAACTGGAATTGATACGTAATATAATTTGAGGCTACATTATAACAAGTCCAAGATGTACATTATAAACTCCAAAACAACAATCAAATTACAACATAACACATTACAGCTCTAATCCAAAAAAGGATAAAAAATGGAACCATAACAAATTCTTAATCCAGAAAAAGGCAGACAAAGACGAAAGGGAAAGAAAAAAGTGTATGGGACAAACAGAAAACAAATAGCAAGAGAGCAGATATAAAACCAACCATATCATATCAATTATCACTTTAAGTTTAAATAATCTAAATACCCAAACTAAAAAGCAGAGATTGTAATAATGGATCAAAAAAGCAACATCCAACCATACATAGCTTACAAGAAACTAACTTTAAACATAAAGATACAAATCAGTGAAAAGTAAAAGAACAGAAAAACATATGCCATGCCAACACTAATCAAAGAAATCTGGAGTGTCTGTATGATATCAGATGACGTAGACCTCACAGCAAAGAATACTACCAGAAATAAAAGAAGGCCATGTGATAATGATACATGGTCAATCCATCATAAAGGTACAGCACCCTAAATGTTTATATACCTAATAACAGACCTTCAAAATACATGAAGAAATAAAGTGACAGAACTGCAAAGAGAAACAAATACAAAATTATAGGCAGAGATTTCAATGTAACTGTCGATCAAATAAGAAGTCAGCAAATCAGTAAAGATATAAAACACTTGACCATCACTCTCAATCAACTTGATCTAATTGATATTTATAGAACACTCCACCCCACAGCAGTTCAAGTTCATATGAACATTTACCAAGACAGACCATATTCTTGGCTACAAAACAAGTTTTAATAAAATTAAAAGGATTCAAGTCATGTAAAGTATATTCACAGATCACAATTGAATTAAATTAGTAATCAATAATATAAAAATCTGGAAACGCCCAAATATTTAGAAACTAATTAATACACTTCTCAATAACCCATGATCAAAGGAGAAATCAAAAGAGAAACAGAATACAGTTTTAATGGAATGAAAATGCAAACAAAGAATTCAAACTTGTGAAGTGCTATTAAATCAGTACTTTGGGAGAAATTTATAGCACTAACTTTCCATTCTAGTAAAGGGAAATAGGTCTCAAGCAAGTGACTTAAGCTTTCATGTTACAAAAGCAGAAAAAATAAGATCACATGAACCCAACGTAAACAAAAGAAAAGAATAAAAGATCAGAATGTATATCAATGAGGCAGCAAAAAGGAAAACAATGAAAAAAATTTTAAAAACCCAAAGGTGGTTTTTTGAGAATATCATTAAACTTAATAAACCTGTAGCCAGAATGATCAGGGGGGAAAAACACAAAAGGGAAAACATGTATCAGAGACACCAACAAATCTTCACTTTAAAATACGCTATTAATGTCAATAAAAAAGCCAAAGGATATGTAAATTGAAATAGGCAATGTACGGTCACTGTGCCTTTGATTCGATATCGCAACTACTTCCATATAGTAAAAAAAAAAAAAA